CGCAGCTGCCAGGCGTCCGCGGCGCGCCCGGAGAGGCCGTCAGGTCCTACTCCGCGGCGTGGGCTGCAGGCTCGGCCCACGCCGCCGCCGCCTCGCGCCACCATTTGCTCAGACCTCGGCCGGGAGGGGGAGCCGGACCGAAGTCCATCCGCCGGCCGCGGATGGACGTCCCCCGTCCTGTCACCAACCTTCCTTCCCCCGTCTCGTTAACGCTGACCGTTCACTTCTGTTGCCGTCCACACATCGCAGCGGCCCGCTGCAAATGGCGCTCACCCGGTGAAAACAGGCGCTGCGTGCCGTTCCTCTGTGGCCGAGCCTAGAGGACTGCTGCGGGCCTGTGGCAAGCGGCCTGCCCCAGACCGAGCCTTGTGTCTTGCCACGGCACCCAGCGGGTGTCTCCCATGCAGGCTGACCTGGGGGTGCAGTGCTGTCGCTGCCCTTGCACACAGCAGGAGCGGTCGGAGGGGGCCGGGCAGCCCGCCCAAGGTCATACCTTGGAAGTGGCAGCACCGGGCCTCAGGCCCGGCAGGTGACTGCAAAAGCGCCCTTCAGTCGCCTTGTCCGGGTTCTTCACCGGGTGACCCCCAAGCACTGTTGTCCCTGCATAAAGCACGGGTGTCTTGGGCAATACACGGGCATGCAGAACTGCAAGGGTGAGGAGGGAATCGGGGCTGCTGACAGCTGCAGTACTCTCACCCTAGCTGGTCTGGGCATTGACTGCCCCCAGGAGGTGCACCCTCGTGCCCCTGGGCCCTGTCCCAGCTGCCCCCTCCCCCAGCTCTGGTTAGAGACGAGACTTGGGGCTCTCACGCTGTGGGTCCCTCGGAAGCATCCCCGTGAGGGTCTGTGAAATGCGCCAAGCTCCAGGCCTGGTTTGTGGCGCCCGGCCCTGGCTGATTTTCCAGGGAAGGTTGCCCTCATTGTGCCCTGGCACTGAGCTGGCCCTCTCCGTACCCCTGCAGGCCGACACCTGCCCCAAGCCCCCGCTGGGGTCTCCCAGGCGTAGACGCCCATGACGCCTGTGCTGGCCGCCGCTCGGACGCTGCACCGCCGCCGTGAGCTAGTGCCCCTGCTGCCTTGGGCCCGATGCCGGTGATGCCCATCCCGCGCCGGGCGCGCTCCTTCCACGGCCCGCACACCACCTGCCTGCACGCCGCCTGTGGGCCCGTGCGCACCTCCCACCTGGTGCGCACCAAGTACAACAACTTTGACGTGTACGTGAAGACGCGCTGGCTGTACGGCTTCATCCGCTTCCTGCTGTACTTCAGCTGCAGCCTGTTCACCGCGGCGCTCTGGGGCGCGCTGGCTGCGCTCTTCTGCCTGCAGTACCTGGGCGTGCGCGTGCTGCTGCGCTTCCAGCGGAAGCTGTCTGTGCTGCTGCTGCTGCTGGGCCGCCGCCGCGTGGACTTCCGCCTCATGAACGAGCTGCTCATCTACGGCATCCACGTGACCATGCTGCTGGTCGGGGGTCTGGGCTGGTGCTTCATGGTCTTCGTGGACATGTGAGGGTGCCTCGGGCCGCGGCCAGGCGTGCTCAGTTGTGTCCAGCTGCAGTCCCTCCGTTGGGGCAGGGTAGGTGTCTGCCCCACCTGGCAAGCGGGTCTGCAGCACGCACGCCCATTTCAGGAGTAAAAAGGGCTGAGACTACACTGGCTGGCTGTTCGCCCCTCCCTCCGACCACCTCCCCGCTGACCCTCCTCTCCTGCCCATTGCACTTGTCCAGTTTTCCTGTGGGGTGGCTCCTCTGTCCAGCCTGTGCTTTGAGACCGTGGACAGGGAGGAGTCCAGGAACAGATCCAGAGGGCTCTCTTCACTGCACACCGCTTCCTGTGCACCCCTGACCTCAGCCACAGCCTCAGGGACAGTCAGGCTCCACTAGTGACACCACCCTGCCACTTGGGTCCTGGCCCAGGGGCAGACCACTCTCCTTTGCCTGTCACCCTGAGGGGCCGTGGGGATCCTGAATCCCAGGCTGGGCCTCGGTCCCTGTGGTTTGCCGCAGGAACCTGTAGGGCCAGCCCCGGGGGATGAGGGATCCAGGTGCCAGCCCCACACAAGTAGCTCCAACATCTTCGCCTGGGGCAGGTCTCAAGCAGGTCTGAAGGTGTGGCGCTTGTGCTGTAAGTCACTGCAGAGGTGGGCTTCCCGGGAGCACCTCTGTCTCTAACTTGTGGGGCAGTTCCAGTCTCCCTGTGGGAGGGTCCAGGATTAGACCTCCCTGTCTCAAGCAGATGTCAGGGCTCCAGATAGGCCCGCCCAGTAGACCCAGGCAGGCTCTGCAGGTGCCTTCCAGGAGCCACATGCAGTGGGCATCTGGGAAGACTGCTGTGCTCTGTCCACTGCTGGAGCATCCTGGGAAGGGATCCCCTCACCAGCCCATGAGGGCTGGGGTCACAAGCTGTGGTGGCCACAGCTTACTGGTCGGGGTACGTGGAGTCATGACACCAGAGTGGGACACCAGGCCAGTCCCGAGAAAGGCAAGTTGGCCAACTCCTGCTTCACTCCAAATCGTTATCCCCACTCGTGGGCGCGGGTGGGGCTCCCTTGACTCTGCCCTGCCAGGCAGGCCAGAGGCAAGGGATCTGTGAGGACACATCTACCCACAGGAGAAACCTAGAAAACCCCAAACCAGGCAGGACAGCAACGCCACTCCATTTCCAGCCAGCTTCCAGCTTGGGCTCTGGTGGGAGGCCCCATCCCGAGCGTCTGACTGGTTTCCCCGGCAGGGGCAGGCGAGGAGCTCCCCAGTGGACCCTGCTTCGCACTGCGGAGAATCTTTTGCACTAATTCCTGCTCTTTCCTCAAAGCAGCTTTGTTTTGCGCTAACTGACCCTGGTTGCTCAGAGCTGCCGGAGCCCTTGCCTGGGTGACGGCCGGTGCGTTGGGCGCCAGTGGTGGGAGGGGTCTGCCTGGGCCACGTTGAAGGTGGGTAGGACCTTGTCATGCTGCACACCCAGCTGCCCATGTCCCGAGTGCCTGTTAAGTTCTTTACGAGACGAAACACCTGCATTAAACCTATTTTTTTAACATGTTGATTGAGTGATGACTTACAGTTTACAATCTTTCCTCATTTAAGGATATAATCACCAACCAAAAAGGCTATAGAATCCATTTTTCTCCACAAAATTGGAATATTTCTTAAAAGCAGCTAATCACACTGTTGGGGCAGTCCTGTGGGCATTCGTGCCACTGTGGGAAGGTGGCCTTTGGGGGACTAGGACCAAGGCTGCCGAGGTGATCACCTTCATGAAGGGGCACTGACGGATGGAGGAGAGAACCCAGCTGTCCTTCTGGGCCCACCCGGGACTGTTGGGAGCAGCACGGGTGCACCCATCATGCCCCTGCAGAGGCTGCCCTCTGTCTCCGCACCCGTGCAGGGCAGGCCCTGTTTCTCCTGTTCGCTCACAAAAACCTCTGAGAACACAACACAGGTGACAATGTCAGCCAGTGTGGCCAGAAAGTGTCCTGAGAAGAAAAGCAGGTCTGTCACAGCTGCCTCGTCATTGCTTCTGCTCTTGTATAAAACTAAACTTCACAGGTTTGTTTATCCTCTCGGTCTGTGGGCGTGATGCTGGCTACAGACTCAGGTGTGCTGGACCTAGGCTGCACCACTGGGCCACGCCCCACACCGCCAGATGTTTTGATAAGTCTGAACCAAACCCTCTGCTCCTGGGCAGCCAGGAGCTGAGGAGGGACCAGGGCCAAAGCTGTTGGGGCTGCTCTCAGCGAGGGGAAAAAGACCCTGAGGTGGCTGCCCAGTGGCTCTGCCCAAGTACAGACCATGCAGACCAGCCGAGGTGGTGGTGGCCGTGCCCTGGGGACGCCCACCTTCCCAGGCGCTTCTCTGGGCCTGCCTCATCTTCTGAGAGTCTGCAGTGTTCTCCGCTGGTTGTATTGTTTACAACACCGAAGATTAAACCCAGGCCCTCTGCCATCAGGCCACCTAGTGTGCTGTCAGTTGCTTCGTGTCCAGCCACCTCTGTGCAGATGCGTAGCCGCACTGTGCCCATACCCGGGGTGACGAAGTTCCCAGGCAAGGCGCCTCCTGTGCCTGGGGTATTACGAGGGTGGCACAGCATAGCCTGGGGCTTGGGCCTGTAGGGCTGCCTTGCTCGGCTGCATACCCAGAGGTCGTTCTGGTCGACCAGACCCGGGCACTGTTGTCCCCTAAGGCCGAGTGATGCATGGAGCTGTGCCAGGCCTGCTTAGAGATGGCCCAGACCCTGTGCTGCAGACTGCCGCTCTCCTGGGTGATGCTGGAGGTACTGGCTGGGGCACGGGTGTTGAGGAGGCCCAGGGACCCCAGCGGTAGTTGTGCTGCCCTGTACCAGGTGGGGGGCCAGGCAAGGAACTCTGGCCACACCGCTCTGACGCCCATTTAGAGCCAGTTATCTGCTCTCCAGGACCCATGCAAGAGGGGAGTGGCCAGCCTCTCGCACTCAGCTTTCTGGAGGCCTTGGAGGAGCAGAGGACAGGAGGCACTGAGATCCCGCATGCAGCCCCTCTGCAGGGAGCCGCCTCAGGAGGCAGTGTGGACCCCGACCCAGTGGCTATTCACTCAGCTGTCCCCACCCCAGCAGCCAGGCTGCCCATGCGGTAGGAAAAGGCTGAGTGAGGCCACAGGCAGCTTCCAGGGCCCGGCGTGGGAGCGCTGCGTGCCGAAGAGTGGGTTTGGGGCTGCCCACCACCCAGTGCTTGCTGGGAAGGGAGGGAGGAGGACCCCAGGGCCGGCCTGGGCAGCCGCAGCAGTGGGTGAGCAGGGGTGGTTTGGGAGCTGAGCTGGGCCCTAAGCCAGCCTCCTGGAGAGCGGGAAAGAGCAGTGGTAGAGGGGGAGTTGTTGGGGAGGAGCTGGGGGTCTGGGGTGCCCCAAGGGTCGGGAGCCAGGCAGAGGGAGGGGTCACTGGCTGCTAGTGGGCAGGGGAGGGGTAAGTGCCAAGCAGACCCAGAACCTGCCTGCCTCCACTGCCCACCACACAGGGCATCCCTACTGCCGAGGCCCCAGGAGGGTGCGGGGTCCCTGCCAGTGATGGGAAAACGGCCCAGCAGAGGGCAGGTGAAGGCAAAGAGGACTCACCAGGGTTTCTGGAAATGAGGTGCTGGTGGAGAGACCGCCATCTACTTCGGGCACTGGATGGACAGGTGGCCCCAGAGACCGACCCTGCACCCCTGTAGGGAGTGGCTAGACCCAAAACAAACACACAGGTGCGCACATGCACTCCGACAGGGCCATGACCTTCTGGCATGATGACAGCCAAGGGCAAGGGCCAGCTGGGGCAAAGGCAGGGGGAGGGGGCCGACAGCCCTGCAGGAAGGACAGCGGGGCTAGCGCCAGAGCCTGGCCCAATGCCACTTGCGCTGGTTCGTTGCTGTCGGGGCCCAGGCTCCCTGACCTTGGGAAGGCCCCTCCCTGCTACTCCGGGAGGGAGCCGCCGGTGCCTCCGAGGGCTGACTCAGCGCTTTGCAGCAGTGCCTGTGCGGGTTCTGCGGCGGACAGCGCACCCTGCCCCTCTCCCTTTTCGGTCTTGTTTGCAAGAAAGGTCCCTCTCTGCTCCGCCTTGCCCAGGGAGGGCCCCACCCCCGGGCCCATGCTGCTCCCAGGAAGCAGCATTCCCAGCCAGAGCGCCGCAGGACCCACTTTCCAGAAATCCCCAGCAGCCTGGCGCAGCTCCCACAGTTCCCAAAAGGGGGAGCCACCCCCCTCCCCAGCAGCATCCTTGCCCAGCGGCACTGGGGCGGGAGCAGCTGATTCAGCGCTCGGCCTGCACCCCTCCCCCGCCCAGCTGGGCAGCATGCCCAGGCTGCTGGCAGCTGTGTCACACGGGGGCCTCGCAGGGTAGTGCGGCTCGAGGTGTGTGGCCCGCACTGCGCCTGGGGGTGGGGTAGCAGACCAGTCCAGCAGGCAGGAGAGCAGCCGGGTGGGAGGGCACAGGGGGTGAGGCCCTGGGCTCTGGCTGCCTTCAGCCCCAGCACATGATCAGTCCTGAGCCACTGTCCGTGGCTGCCCTGCCCCACCCCCACCAACACCCAGCTAGAGTCTCCTGGGAGCCCTGGGCTGGGCAGAGGTCCTGCCTGCATCTATCTCTGGCCCAGCCAGCTGTGGCCACCTGCCGTCCTGACCAGAGTTGGGGGCTGAAGGCTTGAGGGCGAAGTCTGCTGTGTCCCATCCTGATTGTCGCACTAGCTGGCCCAGGGAGAGGGGTTGTGGGCTCTTGGGAGGAGAGGTCAGGATACTGATCCCCCAGGACCTGGCCATGTGGCCTTGCCCGGCAGTAGGCGGGTTGATACTACCTGGACACCGGGGCAGTGAGGCTGCTGGTGGGGCCCTGGGACAGGAAGGGTCAGCCCTGCAGGCAGCTCCATGAGCCAAGGTAGTGCCCATGGGGTCCCCATAGATGTGGGGAGGGCAAGGGGCCTGCTGGTGCTGGAGCCCTGTGGGAAAAAGTAGGGGAGGAGCTGGCCAGGCCTCCAGGAAGAAGACGGGCGGAGGGGACAACTCTAAGGTCAGGTGCACTGGGGAGCAAGCAGGAGGCTGCAGCAGTCACAGGCCAGAGGGCCGGGGGCCCAGCGAGGGCTTCGGCCATCAGCTGCATATTGACATTTGTTCCTCAAATGAGGATGGTGTTCTTTCTGCTTTCTCAGAATATTAATGCCATCCTGCTGAATGCTGCATGAATATTCATACACGGATCGATTAAGTCCAGGTCAGCTGGCTTGGCCCTGGGAGATGCTGGACCTGCCAGGTAGCGGAGGGGATGGTCTCAGCCCAGCATGGCAGGTGTGGCGGCATCCGTGCCACTCCAGCGGGGGGTCTGCCCCCCTCCAGACAGATGACGATGCCCAGTGACAGATGTTCCTCAGCACGGGATCCAGCAGGCAGGCCCAGAAGAGGCTCCGGCTCAGGTTCTGCCGTGGATGCCAGTGAAGGGTGACCTTTGTCCTCCTGGGGCCCAGTGCCAAGGACTGGCCTTTAAGGCTCGGTGACAAGGCCAGCCCTGGGGCCCAGGCCAGGCAGAGTATGGGCTGCTGGGTGGCCATGGGCAATGCAGCAGGGAGCCCCATGTCACCTTGGGGTCTGTCCCTGGGCTCAGCACCCTCTGTGCCTCCCCGGCTGGCCCACTGTGGCGGCCAGCTGCTCGGCTGACCCCTGAGTGGACGCCACTCTGGCTGGGCTCCCTCGAGCCCCAGTCTCTGTGCCAGTAGCTGCCCACCTGCCTGGCCCGAGGGGAGGCCTGTGTGAGGTGAGTCCAGGCGTTGTGTGAATTCATTATTGACAGCAGCATCATGACATCACGGCCACATGAATTATTTGTGTGTTTTGCAAATCGTGCTGCGCTGACCCTGTTTTCCTGGCTTCCTAATGCACACGGCGTCCTAATGTACACCATTATCTCCCTCAGTGACGCAGTCCCGAGCCGGCCCTGCGCCTGCCACTGCCTGTGGTGTGATTCAGGAGGGCTGCAGCCGGGGGGACCCTCACCCCAGCACTTGTGTGTGCGCGTGTGCATGTGTGGGGGTGGATGCGGGTCTGCATGGTGTGTGTGTGTATGTGTGTGTGTGTGTGTGTGTGTGTGTGTGTGTGTCTTGTGTGGTGCATGTGACTGCACGATGCCCACTGCCCTGTTTCCCCTTTCAGGGTTCTCCAAATGAGGGGGGCTGGGCTACTGGGGGCCGCATCCCTGCGCAAAAGCAAGGGCCAAGGTCGCCTTAAGGAGCTCGAGGCAGCACCTCCCCCCCTTCTTCCACCCTGGCGATGGCCAGCCTAGTTACGGTGAGGCTCAGGCCAGCCTGTCCTGTAGGCGGGAGGGAGGGGAGACGGCCTTGCACCTGCAGCCCAGGCAGAGCTGCAGAGAGGACGCAAGGAGTGCCCAGGGCTGGGGTCAGGGGATGCTCCCCGCCGGGCCCAATGCCCAGCGCCTGGCGGGAACCAAGGATTGGCACCTCCATTGCCCTCAGGGGAAGGTGCCAGGCCAGGCTGCAGACCCCAGCAGGGCAAAGCTGCTGACCCTCCGATGCCTACACCCCGTCCCATGGG